ATGGATTCTATATGGTATAGGCCATTGATGTTTTGGTCTTTGCTTATTATTTTCAGGCTTTGTCGCCGATGGATATAATTTTTTTTACCTTTGAAGCAAGTAAGTTAGTTGCCTTCCCTTTTCTTGTGGGTTAATCAAGTAGTCTATCTTGATTCAACATTAGTTCCATGTGCCTGGTGTGCTTTCTCGGTTAAAGCTCTTGTCACGATTCTGTGATTGGTGTTACTTGATCGTATGCTGATATAGATATATGATTTTATTTCTCATATCACAAAGTCTCATCTTTTTTTATTTTATTTTGTGATGACATCTTACTAAAAATGGTTTCATGTTTAGAGCTTCAGGGCTGACGAACTAATTGAATATTACAAGGTAATTCATTGATGATAATTTTTTAAAACAAGAAAAGTTATTATTTTCTGGTTCATATGATGAGCCTGAGATGTTTACTTAAAGTTTTACTCTCCTGTAACCTGTTTTGCAGTCAGATATTAACTTGAAAAAATATCTACACCTAATCGAGAGGTCACCCGTCTTCCCTGTTTTACACGACAGTAATAGGTATTTGATGGTTCTTCGCAGTAAAATATGTGTATCAGCTGAAAACTAATGAAGGTTTGCTTTTGTAGAACTGTGTTGTCATTGCCACCTATAATCAATGGTGCACATTCAGCGATTAGCCTGCAGACAAACAATATCTTCATTGAATGTACAGCAACCGATTTGACAAAGGCCAAGATTGTGTTGAATACAATGGTAATGCGATTAACAGAGCAACAGTTACTGTGCTTAGCTTGATTCATGGTCAGTTCATTAAGCTCTCTGTTTTGTGTTGGAACACGTTTTTGACAAAATGGTTTATGACCATTTTCCGGTGAAGACGTTCATCGGAATGACTGGATTTAAGGCACGATAGAATCGTCGCCGTAAACACTATAACATAGTGTAATCACTTGTCAAAATCGAAGTTGATTTGAATAAGAAATGGAGGTCCAAAGTGGATGACTTGAAAGCTTATAAACTTTCAAAATTAGCTAAGTGTAAAAACCAAAACATCTTACATTGGAATTTTGGATATAAAATTCTTAAGTATATAAAGAAGAAAACTCATAACAAGGTTCACAACCTTAAATAGTGTGTTGGAGAAAAAAGATATCCGGACCGAGGTTCGGCTTTGAGTTTTGGAATATGGCAAATGGGCTAACAACCCAAAAGATTAATCTATTTATTTTGCCAATATTTATTTGTTGATTAAATCAATACATAATTTATCTCTTTAGTTGGTCTTGTAACATACAATTGAATTTTGAATTGAATTTTGTAACTTACAATTCAATTTAATTGGTCAATGAAAAGATCAATTCTCCATCTCCTCTTTATGGCTCCTACGTTGAGCATATGGCTATATAATAAAGCTTTCCTCCTCTCTTAACGAGATACAGATCGAATCATACATGATCACATGATCATAAGTTCAACAACAACAAAACTCTCTCACATGGTTTTTTTTTTTCCTGTTCTTTTATTTTATGTCTGAGAGTGTAACACAGATTCTAACATTCGTGTGATTCTGTTATTGAGTTGTGCAAAACAGAGTTGATTGCATTTGTATCATGAGATTCGGAACGTCACACAACCCTTACACTACGGAGCATTTTCAGAATGAAGGATATAGATTATCTCGCCTCTACATAATCGTTCTTATCCTAATTCCTGAATCGGTATTTTTAATTGTAATATCAGTTTATTTATGTATTTCATTTTACAAATATTAGTTTGCTGCATTTTGTTTTCCAGGTTACTACATTTTCCGAGTATTGTTTTCCAGGTTACTACATTTTCCAAGTTATATATGACAACGGAAACTCGTCAGATATCTTTCCCGATTTAGCTGTCTACGATATGGAAGTTCCTCTCTCTGAAATCAGTTCCTCAATTGCAAAAGGACTCTCGTTGGAGTTGGAAGAGGTAATAAAAGAACGTCGTCGTTGCCTATGGTTAAAATAACATCCTACAGTCAAAGCCTGCTTCAACAGAACCAGTGGCTTTGAATGAGCTTAGCGAGCATCTCCGATCAGAGGTTGGTTACAATAACATCCCGCCAAGAATGCCTGCTTCAATAAAACCAAACGTTTTGAATGAGCTTACCGATCTTCTCCGAATAGAGGTACTAACACCTTTCCACAACTTACTTCTTTTGTGTCCCCATTCGTCTTGTGTTTTTTTTTTTTTTGTTCATATGAAATACATACAATTTGTATCTCACATATGACATCTTTGGCATTTTTTTTAGATTGCGATGAATGTGTACACGGAGGTTATGACGTTTACATGAGGTGCAACTCAAAACATACCCTTTTAAGTGCTTTTTCATATACCCGAACCGCCACTTTTCGCATCCCGGTTTTACTGCTTTTTTGCCATTGCTGAAAGATTCTTGGTTTGTTAAGTACTCAGAAGGAGTCTGATGCCTGGACTACTGAGGCCAGTTCATCATAACATACACCACCCTAAACCTATCAAGGTAAGCGATCTGACTAATAGAATAGGAATGCATATATTCCTTTTGGTAATTTAGGAAACTCTCTTTATGTCTCTAACGGCTACATTGTATATTGTTTTATATATAACCCTTAGTGAATATGACAAGGGGATCATGGATTGGGTTAAACCTATTCTAACATGGTATCAGAGCCTTTTCTCTAAACCCTAAAATCACAGCCACCGTCTCTCGTCCATCTTCTCCTTCACTCC